AGGCCCAGATGAGAGGAGGCGCAGGAGAGGGCAGTTCAGGAGAGGGCAGGACCAGGAGACGGCAGGACCAGGAGATGGCAGGACCAGATGACGGCAGGCAAAGGACAGGGCAGGCCCAGGAGAGGAGAAGCCCAGGAGAATAGTGGGAAGGACCAGGAGAGAGCAGGCCGAGAGGGCAGGACCAGGTTAGGGCCGGCCCAGGAGACGGCAGGACCAGAAGAGTGCAGGACCAGCTGAGGGCAAACCCAGGAGAGGACAGGACCAGGTGAGGGCAGGCCCAAAAGAGGGCAGACCCTAGTGAGGGCAGGCCCAGAAGAGTGTAGGCCCATTAGCGGGCAGGACCAGGAGAGAGCAGGCCCAGGGGAGGGCAGGCAAAGGACAGGGCAGGCTCAGGATAGGGAAGGCAAAGGACAGGGAGGCCCTGGTGAGGGTACGCCTAGAGAGTGCAGCCCCAGGAGAGGGCAGGCCCAGCTTAGGACAGGAACAGGAGAGGCTAAGCACAGGTGGGGGCAGGCCCAGGAGAAGCCTGGTCCAAGTGAGAGTAGGTCCAGGAGAGGGCAGGACCAGGTGAGGGCAGGCCCAGGAGAGGGCAGTAACTAGGAGAGGTAGGCCCAGGAGATGGCAGGCCCAGGTGAGGGCAGACCAAGGAGAAGGCAGGACCAGAAGAGGGCAGGCCCAAGAGAAGGCAGGCAGAGGAGAGGGCAAGACAGGTGAGGGCAGGCCCAGGAGAGGGCAGGAACAGGAGAGGTCAGGCCCAAGTGAGAGCACATCCAGGTAAGGACAGACCCAGGTCATGGCAGGCCTAGGAGAGGGCTGGACCAAGAGAGGGCAGGTCCAGGAGAGGGTACGATCAGGAGAGGTCAGGCCCAGGAGAGGGCAGGCCCAGGGGAGGGCCAGCCCAGGAGAAGTCCTCTTAAACTTCTAAGAGATGACGTTGAGAGACAATGGGTATTTGAGTCTGGAATACAGGAGGGAGGTCTGGGTTGGAAATAGCAGTTTGAAAGTTACCAACTTGTAGAGAATACATAAAGCCTTAAGGCTGATGTGGGCAGCAGCAGACAGTAGTAGAAGCCAGAAGACTGAGCCTCAGGGGTGCTGTGTGCCCTGGGACTGAGAAGACCGGCCAGGGCCGTGGGAGGAAACCAGAGCAGCCTGAG